TTGGAGAAATTTCACTTGCAGTTGCACTTGCACTTGCAGTTACACTTGCAGTTGCACATATTTTCTCTCGTGTGATATAGCCATTAGATACCGTCTTAATCTTAAAAGAAATTTTTCAATCACCTGCACATGTTTTGCGAAACTATTTTACCAACTATTTAAATGAAATTTTAACTTTTTCAAAAATTTCATTCTTTACGCTACTGCGTATATTATTTCGTTATTAATATACTAATCAATTTCTTTAGTACTTTAATTAAGGTTTTCCTTAAAGTAAAGTTCTTTTTAAATTATAGTCAAGTTTAAAAAAAAAATTTAGAATTATTGTCTGCTAGCTAAGAATAAAACCTTGTTAAGAAATTAAAAACATTACACTGTTTAAAATTATTTGATGTAAAGCAGCTGATTATTTACTAAGCATCCTATTTTTTTTCCTTCGAAAAAAGAATATAAATTATTGATCGTCTTTCCTTTTTTTTCTTCTGTTTCTTGTGACTTCAACATAGATTATCTAAAATACTGTTGATGTTTTATAAGTCACTACAATTAAAAAATGTTAAGGCTTGCAGTGAAAAAAAAATTGTGCTTCCATTGATTTTCTTAGAAAGTAGTGAAGTATTATTTTTTCAATCTAAGAACCTATGCCTATATCTTAAGTAAAACTTATTTTAATATTGAGAGAAACAATTTAATATCCCAAGAAACTAAATCGAAAATATAAAAGCTTCACTGATTTATAGAATTATAGTTGATAATAAAAATACACATGTTTTGAGCGTCCAATAATTGAAGTCACAAGTCATTCACGCCTAACAAGTCTTGAGAATGGGCGCTTATATTTGAACGCTCGAAACATGTCAACTTTTACTTCCCTCTTCATATTTTTTTGAAGCCAGTTGAGTTTTTATGAGCAATTATACTGTTTTACATTTGGGTCTTGATCATTATTTTGATAAGGATTTTACGCTCATTAAAGTAAACATATGCATTTTAATATTTTAACAGGATTCATGTGGTCTTTAAAAACGTAAGAGAATCGTAGCATTAATATTGTAAAAGTTATCTTTAACTTTAAAATTAAAGTTTTGAGACCAGATATTTTGAGTTTTAATCTTTAATATTTTATCTTTTAAGTCTTTGTGCCCCCATTTCAGTATCTTAAGGACGTTACGAGCTCTGTTTAAAAAGAGAGTATCGTATCAGTTATATATAAGAGAACAAAAATAATCATACTAGCAGTATTTGGTGGTAAATGTAGCTTATCGCAATTGAAGAACGTGCTGTGTGACATTTTATGGTGAATTTGCGAACTTAAGTTTCAGAATGTATCGAAACATGAGGATGCTATTTGCAAATCATCTTTATCCAAAGGAAATCATGTAACCTAAATATCTAGCAGAATGAATTTTTTAAACAATGAATCATACAATATGCAACATATTATTTCAATATCTTATTCTTAAACATAACATGTTTTTTAAAAATGCCACTTAACATTCAGCAATTCCTTAAGTTATAGAGAAAAGAAATATCGTAATTTATAGAAAACCTTGTGAATGTGCATTAGAATTAATATACAATTTACATATTATTTTGATGTACGTTTTTTGTTTCTTCAAACTTTCTTGCCTAGAAGATACTAAGGAAAAGAATAATAATCGACTGAAATGTATATAAATTTACATTTATACTGTTAAAATAAACAAGATTTATAGCTGTGAAAAATTTGTGATCGCAAAGCTGGAATACGCCATCTGAAAAGAAGACCAATTCCATGTCTTAGTCTTAACTCTCCCCTCTCTCCCCCTTTACTAAATTGTATCGGAATGTACTATAATATTTTCCTCTTCATAATATTTTTCGCATTTAACTATCAAAATTATTTTCCATAATATCAACAACGATTTCTTTAAGAATTATGTTTAATGCAACTTGAGTTCCATTCAGTTTCCTAACGTAAAATTTTTTTATTGCAGACAGAAACTAATGTTTTTCCATGACTCCTATGACTGACTATCCACAAGCTGCAGGTGAAAGCATGTGAAATGTTGCCATAGGTAGAGCGTTTTGCTATGCTCCACCACTAGCCTTTCAATAGCCATAACCGACAAATGCATGGTTCTGGAAATATATGATATTTTATAAAAGGACAAAAAGCCTAGGGTCGTAAAGACCAGGGCAATTTAAAGAAGTCAAAGGAAGGACATTTTCCCATGGTGTAAAAGGAGATGCCTATATTTTGAGGGGTCAGATAACTGACGGTTGGTGATCTGCAGGTGTTGAGAGTCAAGGAATGCTTTAAAATATATGTCAGTGAAGGATGCATTTTATTACACCAGGGAAGGGTAAAAGACATGCAACTATTTTAGTTTCCTAAACGCTTGTTTTATTTTTTTATGCTGAGCCCTTCTTTTGGTTAAATTTTAATTTTAAAATTTTTTCTTAATAAATTAGAAATTGTCATATGTGGAAGAAAATTCAAACAAAACAGACGTATTTGTCTCGGTTGGGGGGGGGGTATTTTATTTTTTATTTGAAAAATAGCTTCAAAAGGTGAAAAAAATAGTAGTTTCTTTTTCTGAAATTGCTAATTCTATTTTATAAACAAAAATTACTTTATTGTAGTGAATGTCAATGTTTCAGAAGGAATGACGCTCATCATTTAAATTTACGAGGAAAATAAAGTTTGCTACTTGAAAAATAGCTTAAAAGTAAAAAAAAATGAGTTAAATAGTAATTTTACTTTATTTTCGTAAATGTCTGAATTACAGAAAAAGCAAAGTACTTTCTTAGCTCCCTCGTTTTTTATTTAAGAGGAAAATAATTTTCTACTTGGAAAATATCTTTAAATTTGCTTTTCCTTAAAAAAAATTTAAGCAGATTTCTCTTTTTTATTTGGAGGAAAATTAAATTTTCTATTTGGAAAATAACTTAAATGTTGAAAAAAATAGCTTTTTTCTCTTTCTGAATGTACTAATTCTACTAGAACTTAGAACTTACTTTTGAGAATGTCTAAATTTCAGAAGGAGTGAAGCACTTCTTTACAATTTTGAAACAAAATAAAGTTTTCGACGCTCAAAAAATAGAGTGAAAATAAAGATATTTTTCCACTTTCTTTCACTTTACTTTCCCAAATTTCAAAAGGCACCTTATTTGCCCATTCAAGTTAATTTCAGAACAACATAAAGTTTCTTATTAGGGGTATAGCTTCAAAAATGTCTTTCCGTTCCTCTTTTCTGTAAAGCGTTTTTACTCTTTTGAGGAAGGGAAATAAATTCTCGGAAAGAGTCTTTCACCCTATGTTGAAGTCGATTGTAACTACGAAAAAGAAGATTTTAAAAAATCTTCACACAATCTCTTTATATAACTATTTTGAAAAAATGTCGCGTGGTCCCTTCATATGGGGCCCCCTTGACCGTCGGGGCCCCGGGGCGGTGCCCCGACTGCCCCGGCGTAGTTACGGCCCTGATACTACACAGCAAAATTTTATAATTGATATGAATTTGAATATGTAGCTNAAATGAATATTGAAATGTACAGGTTTAGAATTTTCTACAGTGAAAAGTTTTCGGAACTTCAGCATTCAAAAAAGTACACAAAAACTAGACGCTAAGAACGCATCCAATGAGCGAGCAAAGCGAGCATTGGATTGCGAAGCAATCCGAAAAAGCAGTTCCGGGGGTTGGTGAGCGCCAGCGAGCAGGGGCGAAGCCTCCTAGTTTTTAAATAATGCTTAAAAAGTATTTAATATATTTATAACTCATTTTTATTTCGGAAAAGCTTTCGAACTGAATTTCAGCTATTTAAATTATTTTCAGGGTATTTTAAAATCATCGAAAAATGTTTTCTTAAACTTAAACCATACTACAAGCAGGGGCAACAGGTGGCGTAGAGCAGAATTCTCTGCCTCTGGCAACACTTCGCATGCTTTCACCAGTAGAGTGTAGAGAGTCATAGGAGAAAGAAGTACGTTAGTTTCTGTCTTGATTTTCAAACAGATTAAAAACTTTAAAGTTAGGAAACTGCATGGAACTGCATTGGATTTAGTTCTAAAAGAAAGAGTCATGGAAATTTAAAAAAACAATTCTGGTGTTTATACGAAAATATTAGGAAGGGAGAAATATCGTAGTACATTCCCATACAACTGAGAAGAGGAAGGGAGGAGGGTCAAGACATGGAACCGGCCTTCCTTCCAGATGGCAAACTCGAGCGTTGCGATCGCGAATTGTTTACATTCAGTCGCATATCCAATTGCATGATGTTCAAGCAACTACAATCGCCTTTGAGGCTCCAAGATGAAGAACTTGATCAAGAATGCGATTGCCGCACCTTCGAAAAAAATGAAGAATACTTGATTGGTAAATACTTGAAAAAAATGATGAATACCTGATTGGTTTTCCCGTGAAAAATTCGCTGATCCTTTTTCACTCGGTAAAAATCGGAGGTGATGTAACTGCCTTCGGTGTGAATGCTTCGCAGTTTTCCTTTGACAAATATATTTCACCAATCATGTTTTCATTTTCCCTCGACAGCAACCAAAGCAGTGAGAAGCACATGCAGTCAAAATGCTCTTTCAAAGATAAGTTGCAAGCAGCGGGAATAGTTCTTAAGTGGGACGTTTAGAGTTTTGTTTGTTTGTTTGTAACCGTACAGATAAAAATCAAAAATTGTATTTATTATTTTTTCTTCGGGCGTCGCGCGCATCGAATTTTCGTCCGAAGCACGATCTCTCTTACGGGAGCAGCCATTTTTATATCTGGGAAGGCTGAGATAGTTGCAATCAACATTTCGCTGCCTAAGTGTAAACATATTAACTATTTAATTACTTATCTATCCTTGCGCAGGCTATGCTGAAGTCCGCTAAAGCGGAGTACAGAACGCGATATTGGTGAAGTTTGTGTATTTAGATGTCTAGTGCTACAGGTTCGCACACTGATCAAAGCCTGAGCCCACCGGCGAAGAAGCGCAGGACTGAAATTAAGTCGAATTCAAATTCAATTTGTGAAAATAACAGCTCAGTAAGTTCAGTTCAATGCTAAGAAAACGAACTTTCAATCAAAAAATAAAACTTAAATGTTAATACACCAAAAGTTTTTTAGTAACAATTAAAAGGGTCGTATCAACATCAAACAAAGGAAATATTTTCGCAAGTTTAAAAATATTGTTAAAACTATCAAGTTAGTTTAATTTCTTATTGAAACAGTTGTCGTGTAAATTTTTATTTCAAACAATTTATTTGTAATCCCTAAAAAAGCTATCTCCATTGTCGAATCAATTTAAACTATTTAGTTTTTAATAGCTTAGTGCGTCATTTTAATAATTGCTCTCGATTTTCCTCCCTTATAAGTAGCTGTTTCCTTTCTGTCACTTGATCTTCAACTTTACTGTTTTTGAAAGATTTTTTTTATCTATAAGCTGTTTAAAAAACAAGCGCCATTTAATTCGATAGGAAATATTCGCTACCATGCTTAAACATTTGTAAGAGTTCACTTAACTCTCGGATGAACACTAATTACGGATGTTATTAAACTTTGTATATTTGTTAAACATTGCTAGCAACTGTGAAATGTTTTAACTTGATAGTATTAGTATGAAATCATAACATAGTTCATAAGCGAGCATAATATAGCTGATGAAAATAATTTTTAATATATAGTTTTGGTTAAATCTAATTTTAAAGCTTACATAGGTTTGTAGTTCTTGTCTATTTAATAATTTGCCAGGTTTACAAATGGTTTGTTATTAGCTTTATATTCAATATATTAGATTATAATTATATGTGTAGAGAAATGGTATTAAGATTTATCATATCTGTTGGATTTCACTTATCATTTTAAGGTTTGTGAAGTCTATAGGTTCATACCTATAGACAAGCCCACATAGTGTGCAATTTCTGTTATTTGGTTCCAGAAAAGTATACGATATTTAGGTTATAAACATTTATGCTACTGCTAACTAGTAGAACAATTCATTAATATTTTTTGTTTGACTTCATAATTTATTTTTCTTCCAGTACTTTAGTTTAAAAAAAAATCTTTTTTTACTTATAATAATTTTCAAGAATTTAGTTTTGCATAAACTTAAATTATTTAACCATATAGTCAGTATTGCATTATTTTCTCAATTTCTTAGTACATGTTTCATTTTAGAAGTTACTAAAATGAAATATAAGTCTGCACATTATTTGTAAAATCTTCTCATTGGAAACAAAAAACTAAATTTTTTCTATAACTATTGTAAACGTGGAAAAGAGAAGAGAATCATTGTTTTACACGCCTGGTATAAGAAAATAAAGATAAACGTTTTGAAACAAGGGCGAGTTTTTTTATAATGCATGGCTGTTTCTAACATGGTTTCTTCAGTAAAAGCATTAAAAAACAAAAAGTTGTAAAAGAGGTTTGACGAAATTGGCCTAAAATTATTGATAAAACTATTGTACCTTATGTATTTATCAGATATGATTAATATTAGAATTTCGTATATCTTAGGTGAAATAAATTATATATTTAAGAATTGTCTACATTTAGTTTTAATTTGTTATACATATTCTTTTTTTATTTTAAAAATCACAACTTTCCATATATTGCATTTAAAAAATTCTGATTAGATGACTATCATATATGAATGCAAGGGGGGAATAAGGCTACTAGTTATTGAGCCTTAGAATTTTTTTTACAAAATCTTGGCAGTAAGAAAAGCTAGGCTCCTGTAGACAGCACATCCAGAAAATTTTAAAATTGAGGATCATAGTTTTACTAAAGTATTTTAAGTAATATTGTATTATAAAAATGAATTCTTTAAACTATAAGTTATTTTATTTAAGTTTATTACGCAACGAATAAATTATTAATTTGCAGTTATAAAATGCAACACATAGTGGATACGGTTTCTGAAAAAAGAGTTTCCCAAAAAAGAAAGCCCATGGAACTGTTCTAATATATTCTGTTTCAGGGTTGCAAAAAACCCACCTGTCCAATAAAACCCGCCCAGGTTTTACTGGTAAAACCCAGTAAAACCCACCCTAAAGTGGATTTTACTGTGGTTTTTCTAAGATTGGTTTCTTTTTTTATCCTCTGTTATATTAAATAGCTATTGAAATATATACATAGTCTAGCCTAAAAAAAATTAACCTATAGTGAAGAAACTAATTGTGTTGGAGACTGGAGAGTCACCTTGCTGGCTAGATTTGACTGTATGGCCATTGATTATTCAGTGCCATTGATTATCTTTTTATGCAAATAAAAAATTTTCCGCAAATATTTTTAGATTAAAGTATAAATAAAAAGTAATCCTGTGTTAAAATAAATTTCAAATGTGTGATGTATGTGAGTACATATAACATTTTGTATTGTGATGTCCGAAGAAACTTTTTTTTAGACTTTCACATCAATTTATTTGTAATAATTATCTATATGAAGTCAATTTATAAAATTAAACTTTTAATTATTAATATTAAAATGAGCTTTTTTAAAATAAGGTACTTATCCCTGCCCTCTCTTTTAACCCCCCCCCCCCATAAAAACATGAAAAACCCAGGAAAACCCACCTGGGTTGGGTTTTTCTACAAAAACCCGGGTTTTTTGCAACCCTGTTCTGTTTAGAAATTTTTTCTCCAATAAAAAAGAATATTTAACTTCTTGCTAAAATAAAAATTAGTTCTAAAAGATCTTTTTTCTTGTATAAATAAATTAAGGATAATAAAATTAATAATTTACAAAAATCTTAAATAAAAATCTTACTTACAATTATTGGAGGTCAGGGGTGGATTAAGCAAGCCTTGGACCATTCAAATTTTTTGGGCCCTTAGATTACATTTTTGTCTCGTAAATTTTTTATTTATTCAAATATAAAAGTTTGTATATCTTTTCAGTAAAGTTAAAATAAATAATAATAAATTAAATTTTACTTTATATAATTAGAACTGAAAAATAATCATAAAATTTTGAAAAATCATTGTTTTTTTTAATTTCTTAAAATTTATTTTCAAAAAATCCATTTTAAGAGCCCTCAATCATTGGGCCCATTTTTTATATCGTTATGGTTTTAATTAAAGTCAGTTTTTAAAATTACTTTGTCCTAAGTGACATGTAAATTTATTAACAAAATAATTGTGTGGTAAAATTTAGTTCCTAGGAATAAAAAGAAAAGGGCATGTCGTAATGACTTATCAAAATGTATATTATTATGTATGAACTAAATATTATCCTCAACAATTTTTAAATTACCTTATACTATTTTATGTGTATATTTTTAAAAGTAATTCTCACTTATTACCAAAATAAAAGTGTAGTTTATTAAAAATAATTAAAGGCATGCTAGAAGAGTCACTGTGTTTTATAAAGTTGTCAAGTTGTTTTATAAAAGGTAAACTTGAAAAAAAAATTATTAATTGATAAACAATTTGAAAGCTTTTTTTCTATAATTCAAACTAAAAATTATGAGAAAATAAAAATGTCAAAGTGCATTTAAAAAAAAAAAGATATTTGAAATCACTTAAAAAAATTCATTACTCTACCTCTCCCCCTGAAAAGAAGAAACTTATATACATTTAACCAGTTTAGAACATTAACAAAATATTTATAATAGTAATCAGAATTAAACCTATAAACAGATAATTTTACCAGTGTGTAATTATTATTTAAACAGTGAATTAATGGAATATGAATAAAAATGGAGTGTTTTTAAAGGAGGGTGGCTTATAGAAAACAAGACTTAATAAAAGGGCAGGCTAGACGGGTCATCCTTTTGAAAACACTGGGGGAGAGCACGAAACACAAGGAAAATATTATGCATTTAGTGTTTTTTTTCTTCTCTTGTGTCATAAACCAACCTTGATAATCAATAATCAAGTAAGTTAAGATGTGTAAATCAAGCATTTTGTTTGACTTAAATGTTCCAATTGTTCATTGGCCTTTTTAGACAATCGTGGTTTATGAAAGTCTTAAGGAACAAAAAATGTTTTTTGTTGGTGAATAAAATTTAGTGATTGCTTTATAGAATTTTGTATCTATAACTTAACACTTTAATTTTTATTATTTGCTACTATAAATTAAAACAAATCTTCATTAATGATATTATGATCATTAATGAAGTTCTTAGATTAATTCATCACTAGATATCACTACTATCGAGTTCGAATTCATATGATTTTAAAATTAGATTAATTCATCACTAAGATGTCACTACTATCAAGTTCGAATTCATATGCTTTTAAACTCGTTAATTTATATTAAATACTTACTAATGAGTCCAAATGACCAAGTCGTCAGCATATAGCAAACAATGAACATCTTCCACGGCCCCCAGAAAACGAATCAAGTCGTTGATATAGATGTTGAACAGAACACAACTGATAACTGCTCCCTGAGGAAGACTGGTCAGAAGGTTTTGGAATCTAGAAAATTCATTGCCATACTTAACTCTACAAATTCTCTGGTCAGTAAAAGATAATATCCATTTTAACATTCTACCTCCAATACCCGATTTTAAGAGTTTTTTAATATAATTTCTCTTTCTGCACCAGATCATAAGCGTTCTTGAAATCAATGTAAATTGCTGACAGAACATTCCTGTTGTCAAGTACATCCTTCACTGTTTTGCTAAATTAGGCCACTTAATCGTTTGCTGAGAGATTCTTCAAAAGCCAGCTTGTTAGTTAGCAATTATGTTTCTATCTTCAAGAAACTAGTTCAATCTGTTTACTACAAGTCTCTCCATAGTCTTTCCCCGGGTATTTATGAGTGATATTGGTCTGTAGTTCTAAATTTGACCAGGATCTCTGCCTTTTTGCAACATCGGTACAATGACAGCTCGCTTCCATTGGGAGGAGACAATCCCTGTCTCCCAAATATGGTTAAATACTTGTAAGATGGTTTCTTTTACTGTATTACTCAAATGCTTTAAGAATTCCACCTGCACAAAATCATCTCCGGGGCTTTCTAAGTCCTCAAGCTGTCTTCCTTATAGTCCAGGGCTGTCCAACTGCAAAGAGCCAGCAGGCCAGAATTTCGGTCACTGA